CGAAGGTTTCCACGGAGCTGCTTAGCTGCCTTGCTGGGAAACAGCAATAAATTCACCCCCAATGGGTACAACTGCCCGCCGCGTTTTACTTTTCATTGTTCCTTTGCCTCCCTCCGTGATGGGCCATTTGACATGTTTATAAATGGGTTTGTGCTGTGTGGAATTAACCTTCATTCATCATAATTGTAGTACAGAGAAATAAGTGCTCCGTTCCATATAGAAAGTGACCCAGGTTGTTTCCCGCGCAGAAGGCGGGTGTGTTTAGTAGGGTGGAAAGCACAGAGGTTGATGCCCCGGTACAGTGAATTCCCCGGTCATCTCTGGAGCAGAGAGAGTCTGTTTGCTCAGGCCTTTGTGCTCTGGCCTCTGGGCATAAAAATAACCAAATACAAATAATACAAACGGTGGGTATTCTTACTAAGCTTTAACTCCATAATTCACTGACGAAGGGGGACCCAGACTGACGTTAGCGAGGCTGCAGGAAGGCAGAGGACTTCACCAACGCCTGGGGCCTGAAGTCTGCAGCAAAATGGGGGTCTCTGCTCCAGAAGCACATCGCTGGCTTGGAGCAGGAGAAAATTGCCTTCTGATTTATTTCCAGCCTGTATCTTCTGCAGGAGGGCTTTTCTCGGGGCTGACTACTCAGGTACTAAAAAGTATGTTCTGCTAACATATTGGGACTAATATCGTCTTAAACTTCTTATCAGGCCAGGCTGGATTACCTTGCTCCTCTCTCTGGGCTGCTCAGCCCCAGGTATTTTATCTCTCACTGAAGAATTCCTCCATCTCCCTTCTATTTAGGAAGCTTAACACAGATGCCACCTCCCTTGGGGAATGGGTAGGGATGCCGAATAACAAATGTTTGCTACCAAGACGGTGTGTCTCATGCAAATGCTTCCAACCTTATGCACTGACCTTTCCTTTGTTTTCCTTGTCTTTTAAATAACAGTTTCTAAAGCTTTTGTTTGGGGGAAGAAAGCAAACAAAGAGGGTTTCCCCTCACCTTTCCCTCCATACACAGTCAGCGATGCCCGAGCAGCCCCTTCCACCTTGCAGCCTATGGACAGACATTATTTTGCTGCTGGGACAAATAGTGTTTGGGATGAAAGTTAGCATCGTTCATAAAAGTCACCAGATGCGACAGGCTCTGTGTC